GCAGCAACAGCCTTGTAATGCAGGAGGAAGAATCCAGTTGAACAGACTATATTGGTCAGGTGGAATGACTGGAAAAACTTGATGAGTTCAAAGTAGGCAGATAAGAAGAAAATGAATTTTGATGATATGAATGTCAGAGGGGTATACAAAGTGTTGTCACAAGTAGGACATTAATCATCAGTGAGACCCCATGGTTTGGTCCAGGGCAAGGGTCAGGCCAGTGCCTGTCAGTGGGGTGAACTTTGATAACTTCGAACCCAGATATCTCTATCTCAGCCCCCATGGGTACAAAAAGACTATCATCTAGTCTCTGAAATGAACATATTTTACAGAATAAAAAACAGTTCCTAAATTATGATCATAAAATATTATGAAAAAGGAGCACAGAGACTTTCTTCATTTTCAGAAACTGAAACTGGAAATCTAGAATTGCCACATATTCTAGACTTGCCACATATTCTAGACTTGCATGGGATTTCTTGGATAGATTTGTTTCAGGGTCTGTATGACAGACAAGGGTACGATGTGTGACGCCCATTACTGGTGTCCCATGCCATGATATTGCTGGAATTCCTTGAATGCTGGAATATCAATATTGCTAAAAATGGCATAAACCAAACTCACTCACTCACTCTACCTCAGATTGGTCAATTCATACCATCGGAGGATATAGTGTTTAGGGTCAAGGTATGTGACTTAGTGTCTGAAATTGTATAACTTTGATTAAAGCAAAATATGAAAAATACATTTAAACTGAAAAGGAGTAATATTTCACAAGTACTTGAAAAAGGCAGTTTTAGTTGTCTCATTTGTTTTATGGCCTCCTGATCTTACCAGAACATTTTACTTGAATAAGGCTTCAACAAAAGCTTAATCCTGCAGATTACTGTAAAAAAAAAATTAAAAATATTGTTTGTTTCCTGAAAATTGAAATTGAAGTTTATTATGGCTTTTGCTTGGTGACCTGAATGTATCTGAAAATTCTCCCCTCTTGACAGAAGACTTGAGGTAAAAGTTAAAGCATGCTAATTGATGGGAAGTGCAGAACTGCTGAGTGGGCAGTTTAGTACTGAGCCATTGAAGGCATGAAGTTCTGTTCCAGCTTTGATGGAGGATGTGGGGTCAGGGTGAAGTAGAGTGACAGTGAAGCGCTGTGTGAAGTAGCTGCAACTCAGACACTAGTTAGACATGTTTTTATCAGTTTGGTAAGGATACGGATTATGTCACTGATGTTGTCTAAGCCAAAGGCTTTGGTGTTTCTATGGTGACAAGCTTTCCAGCTCATCTCAGAGGGATGTGACACAAAATATTCCTGGTTCTACTAAAGAAGATTCACATTCCTCCCAGAACTCCTTGTGTCCACGGGTTTGATTCCCCACATGGGTACAATGGGTCAAGCTCATTTCTGGTGTCCCCCTGCCGTGATATTGTTGGAATATTGCTAAAAGCAGCACAAAACTAAACTCATTCACCCTTGTGTCCAACTAGTTTACCTGTCACTGTCAAGAGAATATTCCGTTTGGCAGAGCATGTTTCCCTTTCAATGGAATCATCTATCGGCCTTCTGTATCATCCATGGTCCAATGCAATGCATGGTTGGAAAGGTATAGATATTGTCCTTTAAGGAGCTATCTTCATAAACCCTTGGTTGTCTCAGGGCAACTAACAGATCAGACAGTCAGATGTACTGACTTATGTCATGTATGTCTTCATATACCGGATGCATAGACCTATGCTAATAATGAGTGAGTGAGTGAGTTTAGTTTTATGCTGCACTCAGCAATATTACAGCTGTAATGTGGTGGTCTGTAAATAATTGAGTATGGACCAGACAATCCAGTGATCAACATCATGAGCATTGATCTAAGCATTTGGGATACGATGACATGTGTCAAACAGGTCAGTGAGCCCCCGATCCCGATTAGTCGCTTCTTACGACAAGCATTGGGTTACTGAAGATCAATTCTAACCCGGATCTTCACAGGTGGTAATAATGACAATCATTGGATTGTCTGGTGCATATTAACATGATTAATAACAGACTTCGCTGACATGGCATGAATATTGCCGAGTGTGTGTCAATATTTTTCAAAGCAATGAAAGGGCATTCAGTACATGCATTGAATACAACAGCAAGTGGAAAATGTGTGAAATGGTCTGTAAAGTTCCTGCCTGGCACCAGGTGGCAGTTTCATGTGTCATGTGTATGGAACTAGTTCCTGATTACTGACCAATCACCTGTTAGATCGACCATGTTGCAGCAGCATCTGTGTCCAGCTGCGTTCACATATGAATGAACACCAGTGATTAAACCAGGTGTTCGTGAAATGGGAAGCATGCCCTGCCCCACTAGTGGGGTAATTTCGGTACAACACCAGATTATGACCTGTGTGCTTGATAAAACCTTGTTAAATAGGGGCAAGTAGAAACTGACTGTGTCTATATTCTGCCTGTTATCTCCAAAGTTCTGATAACTTCTAATGAAATATATATACAGCTGAAGAGACTTCAACACAACATGATGTGAGATAAAAGTCAGAGATTCAGTGTTCAACAAGTGTAGACTTGTGGAAGGCTCTTGAGAAAATTATTATTAAAGGAAAAATAGTGCTATTTTTTTAAAGAAAATTGACTAGCATATTTTTAAGTTATGAGTTTGTGATGTTCTTATTCTTGAGTCGATCTAGACTTGCTAATTCCCAAATAACACAAACTGGATTGCTGCGGCAGAACTCGAGAATGGCTGCAACTGTGTAGAAAATTTGAAAAAGGAAACTACCATTGCACCATTAATTTTTTAATTACAAATACACAATTTTTTAATTTACAAATAGTCTTGAAATTGTTTTAAAACATAATAGCATAATGACACTAGTACATAGAAATAGTGTACAACATTTAAGTAAAGGAAGTCTAGGGGTATGTTGGGTTTTATGTTGTCCATTTTTTATATGTGGGGACCACTAAATCTTTAAAAATTTACATTAGGGCAAATATTGATAAGGACACCTTACTTTCATAAATATTTCAAAAATTACTGCATACATTTAAGATGTTTTATATACTGAAGGAATGAGGGCTCATATACCTGATCTCTAATCTACTGCTGTTACAAGAGAAAGGATGTACAACATCCCCCTAGTACAGCTTACACATGAAGCCATCTTGTAAGTTGTTGTTGCACATGAGCAGAGCTCAGTTAGAAGTGCTGAAACAGCAATTTATGCATTTGTTTATAATGCATGTTTACTGATTTTGTAACAAGAACAAGTGAGTAAAATATATAAAAAACCTGATGAAAAATACAAAGACCCAGTTTGAATGATGCTTCGTGATAAAAAACTGACTGGTTCACTGCGTGGGTGTTATAGTATGTGAACATGGGTTTTGCCTTTAGTACAGCCTTGGTCATGGGTGTTATATGTTGTGAACATGGATTTTGCCTTTAGTATAGCCTGGAACATGGGTGTTATATGTTGTGAACATGGATTTTGCCTTTAGTATAGCCTGGAACATGGGTGTTATATTTTGTGAACATGGATTTTGCCTTTAGTATAGCCTGGAACATGGGTGTTATATTTTGTGAAAATGGGTTTTGCCTTTAGTACAGCCTGGAGCAAGGCTATACTGACAAGTGGAAGAGAACATATTTCCTCAGTGGCTGTAGCGACTGAGTCGTTGTTGAGGAAGGTTATGAGTGCCAGGAGGTGCCATGCTTCAAGAACCACACTCTTTTATCAGTAAGCAGATAAGAGAGTTCTTCCTTCTTTGATGCTGTGGCCTGACCTTGATACCACAAATCCAGCTTCCTGTTCATATACCATAATATGCTCCACAAGTGTTTTCACCATCGAGCTTATCGATATTCACTTAGTGTTGGAGGTTATGCTGATGCCTATACAGAAACAATCCATATTCCTTGGAGTTACTTGGACTGCCTCAGCTCGTGCCCTTCTGTTCTGTTGCTTGTAGTTAAGGATACCTGGGTGACTCGATGCCTGCACTGGGCCCATGATTGGTAAATTAGATCCTTAATGCCATGAAAGTTTAATTTTGGAATTTTATTGCATTTGACCTGACTTGGAAATTAAGACCGATTCATGTTTCGTTTGTGGATCGATAGCCAATAGTGGCTAGAGCTTGTCTGTGGAGGAAAAGTAGCTTGAACTTGTCTGTGGATGGATAGTGGATGAATAGTGGTTATTACTGATCCCATAATAGTTGGACCATCTGTTTTAAAAGTGGCTAGAACTACTCGTGGATAGTGGCAAGAATTAGGGTAAGATTGATAGTGTTTAGAATTAGTTCCTGGATAGATAGTGTTTAAATCAGTCAGTTTTTTAGATAGTGGCTAGAGCTCATCCATGGTGGCTAGAACTAGTCCATGGATAGTGGCTAGCATGAGGGTTAAGTAGATGGCGGCTAGAACCGGTCTGTGGATGGATGATTGTTAGAACCATCAGGGTTTTTTCATAATAACTAGAACAATCACATGGATAGTGGCTAGGACTAGTCTAAGAACAGATAGTGGCAAGTGCTTGTCAACTGGATTGGTTGTCCATGGATGAATGTAAGACTGAATGCAGTGTCTTGTAGTTGCGATTTATGAAATTGTCTCATGTTTTTCTGATGTACAAGATTTGATAATGTTTTCAATGTAGGATCATTATTGATAAAACTATGGATGATTATCATTGGCACTTGGTTTTACAAAACGTACCTGGATGACGTCAGTGATTCTTGACTGGAGAACAGATGCACCATTGAGATCGAAACATCAAAAAATGAAATTGGCAGACACCAGAAGTAATTTTGTGAAAAAGGAGCTTGTTGGCAGCAATTGTAGGGATGAAGCTAGACCCTGGAGGACTTCCCTAATGTTGTAATGGTGGACTGTTGCTGATGCCGCCTTAGATGTGACAATGAAATTGTTTGCCAATTTGGTGGATGTGTCTGGTGATGTTGCTAGGATGAGCTGATCACTGTGAATGTTGTTTCAGATGCCCACAGGGCGCTGGAGTTGCTGGAGGACTACCACAGTCGGCTGAACAAACCGCAGGATAAGCAGTTAAAAAATGCCATCGAGCGTGTGATACAGATCTTCAAGAGCAGGTTATTCCATGCCTTGCTAGGTAAGTCTATTACTATCCCCCGACGATGGCTGCCTGCCTTTGTTGTTACAGCCAACTAATGGCTTGACTTGTTACCCCAGCTTGGTAATATTTTATTGTTGCTCTTCTACGGGACATCAACGAGTATGTATATGTCCTTACTGTAGCCTGTAATATGTGATTTTGATGCATGATCATGATATTCTGATTTTAATGGTACCATGTGACAGAATCCATCCCCTGTTGATGCTGGTCTGGCTGGATGAAGACTACTAGTGAGACAGTGTTCCCTGATTGTAATGTGTTACTGGTGAACATCTATCAGTCCTTGCTTTCTGTACATACAAGGGGCAGTGAGTAGCCTAGTGGTTAAAGCGTTTGCTTGTCATGCTGAAGACCCGGGTTTCGATTTCCCACATTGGTACAATGTTTGAAGCCCATTTATGGTGTCCCCCGCCGTGATATTGCTGGAATATTGCTAAAAGCGGCGTAAAACTATACTCACTCACTCACTCACTTTTACTATTGTCAAGCGAGTGTAATGACAGAATAAAAACTAGTTGAAGCCCAGTAGAATATAGAAGTTGTCACGCAATCAGTATCTTTCCTTTATTGTTACTTACCAGCTTTTAAATTGGCAATCAAACAGATTCATTCGTGGTTTTCTTTAGAATTATGTGGATGAAGATGTGGATTGTTTTTTCGATGGTCCGTTGTTTCCTTTACAGCTGAGAATTTTATGACTGGAATGCTGCAACCTTAGAAACATTGTTTTGTTTTGTGAAGGAATTTATGTTGTTTCTGCATTTTTAATTTGTCTTGGGTCATATTTTACTTACAGTTATGTGATGAAGTAGTAGAAATCTTCATGTTGGATATAGAAAATATGGGCAATAAGTAGGTATTAACCTATTTGACATCACTCTTAGTTGATATAGGATCGTATTGTCCCATCAATTTTGGTAGAAACAAGTAACTTTATTTCACAGCCTATTGGGGCGGTGGGGTGGTCTAGTGGTTTAAGCGTTGGCTCGTCAAACCGAAGACCCGGGTTCGAATCCCCAAATGGGTACAATGAGTGAAACCCATTTCTGGTGTCCCCAGCCGTGATATTGCTGGAATATTGCTAAAAGCGGCGTAAAACCAAACTCAGTCAGTCAGTCAGTCACAACCTATTGGGATTCAGTGTTGAATTTGTTCAGGGTTTTCTGGATGTAAGAGACTTGATGGAATGGGTTGTCAGGCTTGGTAAGTACGTCAGTAGTCTGTGTATTAACTTACCTCATCATGTTTACTTCTCAAATTATCAGTCACTGGAGCTCCAGATATTTTCACACTGTCTTTAGAAAGCTGGAATATTGCTTAGTTTTCAACAATACTAGTGGTGGTCCGATTAATTGAAATAATCGAAGATTGGTCGCAGTGACTAAACGACCAAGCAATCAATCATGTTTTCTCATAATCGAACACAAACAATTCTGGAACACTTGTTTTCATTAACAATATTTTTCACAAGGTTGGTTTTGTCTGTTACATTTCATGACCACTACAAGCTCATTCCAAGTCATGATTGAATTTATCTTCAAGACTCCTAGAAATTAATGTTCCTAACCTACTAGTCATCCTTTAAAGATGTGAAATTTGCCAATGCCTTTAGTGAATTGGCAAAAACACCAAAGAACTACAGGTTTTTTTCTTTATTTTTTTGTCCATTAACAAAAATAATCAGGAAAATTTCACAAATGACGCTAACCAATTATTTCGATGATTGATCGGTTGTAATGAACCAATCATCAATTATGAGATTTTGACCAATTCCAAGCACTAAACAATACAAGCACCAAACTATGTTCTTAGCAGGATTTTCAGGAGATTGTTAGCATGTTGACAAATATCGACTGATCTAACTATTCTGTTATCAATGTGTCTTGACTCCATTTCTGATGACTGCTCTGGAGTATCAAGATGGGCTTATACAAATACACAAATTAAATCACCATTACTGAATGGATTGGAGTTGCTTGTGTAGAAATAGGCATAATCAAGGTACAAAAAAACCCAATAGTGTAACAACACTCTTGTGTAAGTACTTTTCAGTTTATAGCCACACTTGATGTGCCTAGTGGCTGCAAGAGTTGTATGATCCCCAGGGAGTTGAGATACAATGTGCCGTTTGAGATTGACATCCAATGATTGAGGGAAAAATCAAGTTTTGAATCGCCACACACTGCTGCAGTGAATGATGCTATACCCAGATTTTTGTTTATTACTTGACTTCGGATGGCACAGGTACAAGTTAGAAGACATATCATTTGACAACATTTCAATAAGAATTAAGTCTAGTCTGCTCATTGGTGTATATATACAAAGTAGACCGGATGTAAGTTAACTAACCAAAGAATACTATCAATATTCACTGTGAATGATAACACCAAGTACTGGTGTATATATACCCAGTAGACCGGATGTAAGTTAACTAACCAAAGAATACTATCAATACCCACTGTGAATGAAAACCCCAAGTACTGGTGTATATATACCCAGTAGGCTGGATGTAAATTAACTAACCAAAGAATACTATCAATACCCACTGTGAATGAAAACACCAAGTACTGGTGTATATATACCCAGTAGGCTGGATGTAAGTTAACTAACCAAAGAATACTATCAATACCCACTGTGAATGAAAACACCAAGTACTGGTGTATATATACCCAGTAGGCTGGATGTAAATTAACTAACCAAAGAATACTATCAATACCCACTGTGAATGAAAACACCAAGTACTGTGTATATATACCAAGTAGACCGGATGTAAGTTAACTAACCAAAGAATATTATCAATACCCACTGTGAATGAAATCACCAAGTAAACAGTCTATATGTCAGAGAATCATCTAGTGCCCTACAGCTGTATATAAGTATGATGTTGACACCGCAACACGGGGTAATGGTGTCAACAGCCTCTGTGATGGTGAACCAGCTCAGCTAGACTGTGTGCAGGTCTGGAGGAGATCCGTGCTGAGACTCTCAGATACGGTATTGACTATATATGAAGTCATTACACTGTCTTCCAGCTTCTGCCAGCTACTTCCAGTCCACAAGTCAAGCCCCTCACATCCCCCCACGGCCTGGTGCAGCAGTCACCTAGGCACAGATTGATCAATACAGTGTTATATGTCTCCCAATCACAGAATAGTGCCTCCACTTTATCCATTCTTTCGTTTGGTTGGGTTATGCTCTGTTCCAATACCACTCCTGAACCCATTTCCACTCTGAATTGTTAACTCCTGGACTCCATGGTGCTGAGTGTTTGCTTCACAACTCACATTTTCTTGGTAGATCTGAAGCTGATATTCTTCCATCAATCCTGTAGAGTTTGTGTCAGAAGGGTCCCTCACTTAGTGTTCCACTAACATACAAGGTTGGAATCCTTCACTCCATCCTGCATCCTTCCTCATCCTTCATCCCCTTCTCAAATGTTTTCCATCATTCATGCCATTCTCAAATGTTTTCCCCATCCTGTATCCCCTTCTCAAATGTTTTCCCCATCATTCATGCCATTCTCAAATGTTTTCCTCATCCTTCATCCCCTTCTCAAATGTTTTCCCCATCATTCATGCCATTCTCAAATGTTTTCCCCATCCTTTATCCCCTTCTCAAATGTTTTCCCCATCCTTTATCCCCTTTTTGAAATGTTTTCCCCATCCTTCATCACCATCAAAAACTTTTCCCCTTTCTTTCGTCCCCTTCTGAAACATTTTTCTTACACACCCGTGGGTGAGAAACCCATGTGAGAAAACTGGTATCACACATATGTGTGAGATCGATTTCTAATCCTGTGATTGGCTACACCATGGTGATGACCTAGGGTCAGGTTATGACGGACTACTTTCCTGATTAAAATTCATTGATAAGTTACTCGTGCTTCAATCGAACAGAAACCTGTTACTCTTGCCAAAAATACCCCTTTACACCTACCTGTTATTTTTGTGATTGCAACATAAATAGGTATCTATACAATGAGTCACAAGTAGAATAAATATAACACGAATCTATTTATTTTCTAATTCTTTTTATTAACTTTTGATTTCTAGTCATGAATTCAAAATGGCTCGAACAATCAGTGATACCTGTGTAAACAATTATGTGAAAATCACCGTTAGAGATAAAGCCCAGGATTCCCTTCGAATATTCAAAATGTACAACATTGGTACTTTTACTGGAGAGATGCGACAAGTGTCATGTGTCGTCTTGCAAAAATACCTGACACGATAACGCCAGTGCCCGTCCATTGTGAGATCGATTTGCCTCTTGTTTCTTTGATGCATTGATGAAGATGACATTTTTCATTGATAAACATGATGAAGACCCACTTCCAGCTCCGAGCTACTATGTGATTTCAATGTTATCAAATTCACTCATGACAATCAGAACCAAAACACACTCGTTGAAACAATGTACAACATGGAACGTTTTGCAAGGCTTCATGAGTGCAAATGGCGGCACACGTCTTTTCTATTCAATCGAACATGTACAGGAACGGTTGATCTACACAAAAGTCATTGCTCAAGACATTCCTCCGACGCATGATAATGAAAAGTTTATGTCTTGATAACATACAGGATGTAATCAACTCACATTTCATACTGAAAACTCTGTAAATTCCATTACATTCCAAGTGACAGTTTCTGGCTCGGGAAAGCGAGAAGGCTGTGGCGAAGAAGAGTAGTCCCCCATTGATAGTGAACGTAACCTCAGCAATGTCACAGTCAAGCACACTGGGTGCACCTAATTGCACACACTCAAACGTTTTGGCTCCAGTCGATGGAAGAACAATGAACGTAAACTGGTACACAAGTACAGGTCTCCAATGTGCAGAGATATCCAAAACAATCTTCCGATGACGACAACCACCAAGCGATAACGATGGCGCCACGGCTCAAATATTTACGCTTGCAAGAATTAAAATCATCCACATTTGCATGGTAACATCATCGCGTTTTAGAGGGTTTAATTAA